CCCCCCCCCCCCCCAAATAAAGGCCTTGCGGAAAAAAATGTTTCATCAGAAACAAAATTTAATGACACAGAGTCAAAACATGCCAAACATGGGCTGTCTTGCACAAGCTATCAAAGTTTCAAGAAATATAGTGCACATCTTCCGGAACAGTGTTCCAATGTTCTAGAAGAGTAAGGCTAGGTTTACACTACACCGGATAGCGTTCCGGTAGTGGTTCCGGACTCCGGTGCGGCCCAAAAAAGCACCTATCCGAACACGTGTAAACGCAGCCAAACGCAGCCTGCATGGAGCAGCCTGCAGTTGCCTGCAGGGGATGGGTCGCGTCGGAATAGGCCTGGATATTAGTGGTGATGTGACAGATGCACCATTTACAGATTTACTTTTTTTTTCATTTACTTCCGTATTTCACAGAAAATTTATAAGCAACAAATTCAGTCAAAATTACAGTGTTTGGTTGATCGAATATTATAACACTTGCTGATTTGTTTTGAGCGTAATATACCACTGATGCAGGTCTAATCATTAAGCTTTACGTGGAAGTCGGTTCATCAGATACAACGTGTTCAATATGAGTTGGTTTATTTATCTATGGTTTATTTACATGGAATGCTCATAATTATAATCCTCTAAATTATTTGGTGATTTGGAGTTCACTTCATTGTCATATCGGTCAGGATGTCTTCTCCATGGAATCATGGCAAGATCAGCCGAAATGCAGCTGAGCAGCTGTTGGTAGCAAATGGAAAAGATGGGGCTTTCTTGGTCCGTCAAAGCGAGAGTGTTAGTGATGCACACGTCTTGAGTTTGTGGTATGTTGACCCGAGATTAATTTGAGTTTATCAATTAAATGTTTTTTATAGCAAGGTGCCCACTTCATATTAGTATTAAAGCCATGTTATTTATTTCCTTTTCTTTCCTGAATTGACTAATTTGCATGCCTTGTACTGCAAACGATATTCCAATTGCATTGTTTGACAATTTTGATGAAGTAATATTAGAACATGTTATAAATAACCCTGTGACTATTTGACCGGCAGCTGGTCACGTTTCAAAATATACTAAGTGACCAGCAGGCAGGTTCAGACCTGTATTTATAGTTACAGTCAAATAAAACAAAAAGAAACTAATCCCACTCCTAAGTCTAACCCTAATGTACCAGTCAATTCCAATTATGATCATCCCTCCCCCAGCGAACCCCTGGGAATTTGACTTTTCGAAAATTTTTTTGTCAAATTGGGTCAAATTCACGGTCCCAATGCAGGTTTGAACCGCGAACTACAAAATAGCAGCCACTTGCCTGACCTTCTGTCAGAGCTGTTTTTGACCTCGTTGAAATCCTTGGTAAACAACACATTTTTTGTGCCGGTCATTTAAAAGATGACCAGCTGCCGGTCAAATATAGTCACTCTGTATAAATAGGTAATAATTACTTAGTAGAGTCAAACATTGCTTTATAAAGTACAGTATTTTAATTTTGATGCCTGTTAGTGATCAATGATTTCCTAAAAGATTTGACAAATTGATGCTTTTTCAAGTGTGGTTATTATTTGGAAGGCTAAATTGCAGGTTGATTCAGGTTTATGAGTAAAGATGGATATCGGTTATTTTTATGTTGTTGGAGCTGACAAAACTTAACCCACATCCAACCTCCACACTAACCTGTTTTTTTTTATCCTAACCAATCCTTTTTAATTAGCTTCAAAACTCAATCACCAACCCAAGGTATAAATCGCAGATTAAATGCAGGTTGGTAGAACCTGTGTTTTGGAGTTTTGGTTTGGATAAAGACCTCAGGTTATGCATGATTCAATTCTTCCAGTTACCATCCCTCCCCCCCTGTACAACCCCTGGGGATTTGCAGAATTTTTATTTCTAAAATGTCAATTCCCCACCCCTCGGGTAAATCAAGAAAGTTAATTCCCCACCCCGAACATTCACAAACTATTATTGCACACAAACATGTTATAAATCGATATTTTATAAAACTATGTAAACCTTTGAGTTCACTTACAGGACACATTTTCTCTGATCTACAGCCACACATACAGACATATGATCGACATTATTTTAAAAATATGTAAGAAAGAAATTAATCAGTGGAGTGCAAGTGGATCTTTAATACCATTATAATCATGGATTTGGAGGCAAACATCTCAGGACCATGGGCGGATTTGCTGGGGGGGGGGGGGTTACCCCCCTAGAATCTCTCTAACCCCTCTTATAAAATGTTCAACCCCACCAAAATTTCACCCCTCCTATTTTGTGTGAATGTCTTTAACCCTAACACCTAACCCTTGTGGAATCTTTCTCAGTGGTGCTGCTTGCACTCCACTAGAAATTTTTCTACCCCTCCTTTAAAAAAAATGAAAATCCGCCCATGCTCGGGACGGGTTTGAGTGGGAACATTTAGATTCCCTACAGTACTCCCGGGACCAGATGCTCAATAAATTTACCCACTCCCGGGACGTGTAGGTGTACATTTCCCCGGAGGTTGCCGGGAGGGATGATAACAGGAAGAATAATTGAACCATGCATGGGGCTGGATGTGGGTTAGGTATATGGTTTTATTGCCTAAAACAATAAGAAAAATAATCGTTATCTCATCAACTTGCACCAACCTGCACCTGCAATTAGATCCTCTGTTTGTTATTTCTGAAGTTAGCAACAAACCTGTGAACTTCATGATGTTTGTACAGTAATAGCCAATGAAATTGCAAACTTGAAATCAAACTTCATTTACAGGTTTTCCAGTAGAAGCAGGCACCCAGCGAATTTTGCTGCCTATAGTGTTGACAATCGTGGGTTCTTTCTCAAAATTTATTGCAAACCAAAATATTTCCTTCACCTCAGCACAGAGATATCAGGAGAAAGATTTATTGCTTTAAAAACATTAATTTTACGTGATACCATATTATAAATGTTTGAATAATATGACAAAATCTCCAAAACGAAATCTGCAATTAAAATGGCTGGAAAATTAATGTCATTTGAGATGGTCTGAATTATTTACAGGGAAACACCCTAATGGTCTGCCCATGTCGGTGATTAGTTTCGTCTTACGTCTTTTGAAAAACCTCTAGTCCTACTCTTTGATGTTTGCTACGAGTTCTTGTAAAAGTTTGCAATTATATTAGCTATCACATATAGAAGTCACAAGTCAGAATGTTTGCAAACTTTGGGAATAATGATCAGAACAAACTTTGTTAAACTTTGCATCTTGTCAAAAGTGTTGTTGCCCTGGCTAAAAGCTGCTGTCCCAGTAATTCCACTTTATTTTTTCTGTGTTGGTGTAATGTACTCAGGTGAATATGATGCTTGTGATGTTACTCTGAGTGTACACTCAGAGTAACATCACAAGCATCATATTCACCTGAGTACATTACACCAACACAGAAAAAATCATGATTATTATTAGATAACATTGATATCGAAGGAACTAGATTCTGTTCTGAAATATCACATACTCGAACCGACCAGACCGCATAGCTCAGTTGGTAGAGCATTGGGCTAGTATTCCAAAGGTCGTAGGTTCGATTCCCACCGTGGTCAGGCATATTTTTCAAGCTTACCCGTTGTGGATACACACTCAGAGTAACATCACAAGCATCAATTCCACTTTATTTAGTGGTGGGGGTTATGCTGATTCAATTTTAGCTATAAACTTTTGGAGCCCCCCCCCCACATTTTGTTGATAACTTTATTTTGCCCCCTATACTGTATGTTTGTGAACAAAGGTGGGTGAATTAATTGATTATTCAGTATATCCCATTATAATGCAGAACTTTCCCCTAGTCCCCTTGACAAGTGAATTCATCTGGTGTTGGACAGAGTAAAATAATAATGAAAGTAGAGTGCTTTTGGGTGCATCACAGCTTCATGGGACATTCATATATATATATATATATATATATATATATATATATATATATATATATATATATATATATATATATATATATATATATATATATATATATACATATACATACATATATATATATATATATATATATATATATATATATATATATATATATATATATATATATATATATATATATATATATATATATATATAAGTATATATATATATATATATATATATATAT